CGATCGTCAGGTAGAGTCTGACCTCAGGAAAAGTAATCGCTCTAGCATAGGAAAGATAGACTGAATAGGTGGCAAGGAATTTGAAGCCCTTGTTCGAGCTGACAGTTCGATGTCAATAATGCATTCGAAGAGCTTTGCTGCCCGCCCAAAACGGGTGCATCGATTTTCATGGGCCCTTAGATATCGTCTTGAAAATGGGAATAGTCATCAATCCCGACAGGATGGCGACTTCCAAACTGCAATCCTCATAATCGTACATCTGTGTAGTGGAGGGACGGCAAGAGGGGCCGTATTCTACCCTGTCCAAGAAAAACATTTCCTGGGAATTAGCATTCTTAATAAGACACAGGAGGCCTTACACACGTGCGTTAACGAGGTCTTGGGGCGGGCAATGACCCCGACTACCTCAGTCACTCATCGCGGACAGAAGACCTACCAATGATTTCAATTGCATTCAATATATCATTGATATTTCCATCTTAAGTCCATGTCAGCGGGGACAAGCTCTAAATCCGGTCTTCGAAAACATTCTACTCGGTGATCCGATTCATGGGCCCCACTATGTTTGCCGCCAGGTGGTCCCGATGCTGTGTTTTGTGGCGCCAGTTTGCCAGGTCGTCAGCGACCCGCATGTTAACGCCGGGACTCCGTCAGTGCATCACGGCGCTCTCTCATTCACCCGCGCGCTGTACGTCATCCCGAGAATCTCAATCGTACAAGTTCTCATTATATATAAAGAAGTCTAGTTGCCAAGCGTCACTATCTGTTTACTTGTCAGTAGAGACTTTGGCACACACGATTCAAGAATTCAATTCAACTATCAAACGGCACTAGATCAACCAATCAAAATGGTCAAGACACTAGCTTTCGGAGACATTGAGGTCCCTTCCCCTGGCTTTGGTGCTATGGGAATCAGCTTTGGTCTCGGTTCCAACTTGAGTCTCGAGGAGGCTGAGCCCGTGCTTCTGAAGGCAATTGAGCTGGGATGCACGTTCTGGGACACTGCTGTAAGTGTTACTCAAGTTTTCGCAGTTGCAATTGCGAGCTCTAACTATTTTAATTCAGGTGGTCTACCAAGCAGGTGTAAACGAGAAGCTCCTTGGAGAGTTCATTAGGAAACACAACGTTCGCGACAAGGTTTTCAGTAAGTCCAAGAGGCTCATGAACCCAGATTGAAACTAACTCTTTCCAGTCGCTTCTAAGTGCGGTTTCGATGTGTTTGGAAAGGGTGGAGTGACCAACTCTGCGTCCCACATTAAGCAATACATCGAGGGAACCATTGAGAGACTTGGCTTCGCCCCCGACCTCTACTATCTTCACCGCATTGACCCTAGTATGTCACTCTGTCGAAGACTCTTGAAGTTCTAAGCTGACTCAAATACCAGACACGCCACTGGAGGAGTCTATTCCTGCACTGGATGAGATTCGGAAGGCGGGAAAGACGAAGTACATTGGCTTGTCCGAGTGCTCAGCTGCGACACTGCGCAAGGCCAACTCTAGTGAGTTTCGGTACAGCTCTAACAATATTCAATCAAGGAAGCTGACAAGACGCAGTCGTCAAGATTGATGCAGTCCAAGCAGAGTACTCAGCCTTTGAGACTCTCCACGAGACCGACGGACTGATCGACACCGCCAAGGAGTTGGGAGTCGCGTATGTCGCCTACAGCCCTCTGGGTCATGGCTGGCTGGTCGACGATTTCCCTTTCAAGAGCCCCGACGACTTCGCTCCGGATGACTTCCGTCGCAGTGGTTAGTTGCCTCGTCTGAAGTGACTACTGTATGCGCACCGTGCTGACATCGGTTGAAACAGTTCCCAAGTTCCAGGGAGAGAACTTCTACAAGAACAAGGATATTGTCGATGAGATTAAGAAGCTTGCAGACAAGAAGGGCTGCACTCTGCCCCAGATCGCCCTCGCGTGGGTTGCTGCTCAGGGCATGATTGCCATCCCCGGTACAACGAAGGCCAAGAGGCTAGAGGAGAACTGGGCGTCTCGAGATGTCGAGTTGACAGAGGAAGAAAAGAAGGAGATGAGAAGGATTATTGACGCTGCTAAGCCTCATGGAACTAGATATGGTCCTAGTCACCAGGCTCTGGTTGGGCACTAAATTACGCTGTGGAGTGCGCAAACAACCTTTAGGTGTTAAATGAATAAAACTTTTCACTAGTGTTGTTCGGCACTTTTAGATGAGACCAGCTTTACCAAAGCATAGCGACCTAGATCACCTGTTCTCTTCCAATGGCCTTTCTAGAACGTTGATGTTCGACTGCCTGCCGGAATTGTAACTCTTCGGAGCCGTCCGTTCCCTAGCGTTGTCGTACTCGGGCAGAATGGTCTATCGAACTCTATTTTAGTTAGGCTCGTCGTTGAATCTTTCGCTGATAGGTGATTAATCTGAAACCGTCGTGACGAGTCTAAATCTAGCCCTCAGACGATAAGAAAGGACTGACGAAAAGTCCGTTGTCCAAAACACTGTTCATCATCACAGTATAACCATCTAGAAAATTTTCGAATGCGCTGCCTCCCAGACGCGAACGGCGAGTATGCCGCCCAAAGTCGCTTATCCAACGGCAGGGAAGGCGTCTTCCAGAATACGACAAGCATGCGATATCTGCCATACCCGCAAGATTAGATGCGACGGGTGCCGTCCGTGCATGAACTGTCGGTTGGCGAGGGTTGACTGTACTTACAACGCCGTGCCCAAGAAGACCGGACCAAAAGGGCCACGACTGAAGCGTAAATATCATCATCGGGCGGTAATTTACTCCAGGTTCGGCAACTAAGTCGGAGTGAACAGGTTCCGACAGTGCTCGAACTGCGGAAGCCGCATCATGGAGCGAGACTCAGGTCGAATTTCGGCCGTCACCTCTAGTTTCAGCCGACCTGTTCAGACGATATCTGGACGTTTACTTCATACGAAAATATCCCATCACGCCCATATTGGATCGCAATTGCATGGAAGAATGCGTCTCGACTTATTCCGAGTCACCCGAAAAGTACGGGTTGTTGACATCATGCTGTGCAACCATAGCTTTGGATTCAGAAGTGTTGTTGCAAAAGTTTGAGCCGACGTCAGCACATCTACTATCGCCAGCTCAGCCCAGCGTAATTCTTCCAACGCCCGAATTCTTCGTCCAGGAAACGCTTCGTGCAAGACGGCATATTCATCTTGCCGAAAGTCTATCCCTCACGCACATCTACACGTCATTCTTTCTCTCGCATGCTTTCTTCTGTCTCAATAACGGGAACGCCGCGTGGGTTTATCTCAGAGAATCTGTTACAATCCTGCAAACGCTCCGGCTCCACGAAGAGGCAACATACAGCGAAATCAGGGATCAGACCGTTGCTACGTATGCTCGACGGATGTTTTGGACACTCTTCGTCACGGAACGGTCTTTCACAATACAGCGAGAAAGACCACTAACGCTACTACCTACAATTAACCTGCCCGAAGTCGACCCTCTTAGTCCTGACGCCGAGATTCTGGCAGGATTTCTTGATCTCGTTTCGCTTTTCCTTCCATTTGACTTCGACTTTATTACCACTATGAACCTACCTATTTCTCCGGCGTTAAAAACGACAAAGGCAGCGCAATTCAGGCGGCTGCAGGACAAATTGTCGAATTGTCTTGCCAAAGTATCGCACTATCCCGAGGCACAGCAAGCAGACTTACTAGTCACTCGAGAGTGGCTCAAGATCATCGTCTGGAAGATTTGCGTGTCAAATTCCCTACTATCAAGCAGCACAAATAGTAGAGATAGCATGTCGCTCAGCTATCCTTCGTCGATAGCCCGCGAAACCGTCCTCATTTCCCGATTACTGCCATCAAAGGCCTTCGAAGCCAACGGAGTTGCCATTTTGGAGAAAGTTTTTGACGTGGGATGTTCACTAGCTGACGTCCTGTCACTTAATCCGCATCCGCCAAACAGTGTTTGGTCAGCGATGGACGTTGGTCCGATCGATGTCTTGGTGGAAATTGTCAGAATAGCAGGCACAAAATTCGGCGATGGCTACCAGCATCTGCGAATACTGGTAGATAAGACATACCGTTGTGTGCTGATGAATGTTGATAGAAGTCTACCCTTGCCAACAAATGCGTCACGGGTACAAGCAGAAGAGATAGATTGATCAGTGCTGAGAATAGCTGCATGCTAAGCTGAACAACATCGCGTATAGAATTAATGTCAATATTAGATACTATTTCAGGCTTTCAACTGACAGCATTCTCGTCTTAATTCGGTGATTGCTAGGGCGCTGTGGATACATAGCTACTAATTATCATTACCTATAGAAGGATGGGGAACAATGTACGTTCTAATGCGCACCGTTTCTTATGTTGACCTTCTCTTTGCATCCTCTTTAAAATGTTTTCAGACAGCTTGTTCCCGGATATTCTAAGAAAACAGTTTTCTTCGTGTATTTTCGAATCCTTACGCGCTTCTTGCCTCTAAGTCTACCTCATACACCCACAGCCTTTGTTAATGTTGCAGGGAGAACTGAATTAGCTTGGGTTGCTGCAGACGCTTCTTTTGAAGTATTTCCAGGGATTATTTTGGGGTTCTTTACTGGCATGAAACAACAAATGGTGTCTCAAGTTCTGGAGAAACTTAGTGGAACTTGTCAAAGGGCCGTTTCCCCTGATTCAGCTTATGCGGGAAACATCACGGCCATTACCGGTGATGAGGCTGGGGCCATTGGGTCTTATTGAGACTGAATCTTGAATCTATCACGCTCAACAGACAGGTTTGGAATCAAACTGAACTCCCGACGGAATGACGATGGAGGTTTCGGCAATGCACCACAAGCAGCCGCTTGAGAGTGAAACGTCGGTGACGGCTCCCTGACTTTTCCTCTTGAAGATCAGCCACCTGGCAGCGCTTCAGGCCCAACCTACTTGGGCATTTCGAGATCGAAGATTCTGCCATTGACAGTCTCGGCAAGTATCTCCCTTTGTCGCGCAACTTGAACTGCTTTCTAATTTGGTCACTAGCCCGTCTAGCCATGAGGCATGTCAGAGCAACTAAGAACTCGGATTCAGTTCAAGATGAATGCATCCTATTTTGTGAAGAGCTTGGCCAGCTTCTTCTCGAAACGGAACCATCTCGGGACGACAGCTCTAGGCCTCTGGACGAGCTATTGAATGACGTTTCCTTGACCACCAAGCAGCTGTCTCCAAGTACCGGGATCTGCCCCCTTCTGTTGACCGCCTTTTCTGACTTCATTCCAGAACAAGAAACGGATCGCGAAGGGGCCGATTTGTCCGCCTCCTCACTGTCGACATCAGCGTCAGGTCCTCAACCTTTCACAAAAGGACAAAAGCGGTACGACAAGATCCGAGCTTTACTAATCAGGTGGGAAGAACATACCCTCAGTTTTGGCGAAGTGATAAGAGCGCGGGAAGCCCTCGAATCCTACAATTACGAGGTGGAAGAGTTCCGAATTCCGAAACCCGAGCCCTTGCAGAGCCTGAAAAGCAAGATTCGCGCTTATGCTGCGGACATCAAGGAGAAGCCGAACCTGGACACACTGTTGATCATTTGGTACTATGGGCATGGCGGTTCATGGCCCGATGGTGAGAATCGCTTGACCCTTGCCAGGTAGGAGTGATACCATCCCACTCACATGCCTACATCTTTACTGTTTCTCTAGAACGAGCGTTCCTGCTAATTGAAAGTCGCAGCCATAAAGAGGATGGCACGTGTGTCCGCTGGAGTGATGTAGCCAAGGCCATTCTCGAAGTCAGGACCGACGTCTTGACCATTCTCGACTGTTGTCATGCTGGAGCATCGGCGCTCAGTGAAGACCTACTGCGACCCTTCATCGCAAGCAACAAAGACTACGCCAAGTGGCTTTTGAACGCGTCCGGGTTTGAGAATATCTCATGGTCGGGGCATGAGAACGCTCTGGCGTACGCAATCGCTGATATCTTGGACCTCCATCTTCACACAATGGACCTGGACACTGAATTACTGCATAGACAGGCCATATGTAGGGCGAGGGACACTTACATACCAGAGACTCACTTGACCTGCACCCCTGGTCTTCTGCGAATGATATCTGGACGTCAGGGGCCAATCATGCTGCACCCTTTGCCCAATCCTTTGGCACCCAGAGGAGAGAAGAGAGCGAGGCCTCCCAGCTCAACTGACTCCGACGACGGGCCACCCAAGACCCGTGCTAGGACCTCATGATTTCGCGTCGAATCACCGAGTATTGAGTCTGTGGAGCAGAGCCCTGCTGACCGGGCGGAGGGTTGTTTATTCCTGTCATTTTTTGTTGTTTCTACTGGCTCTGTCGTGTTTTGTTGTCATTTCAATTGGATACGTTGCCCTGTAATCGCTTATGCTCTTGTCTTTTCTCTGGAGCACCTAGGAGTGTTCATCAGGATGTCAGAACGGCAATTTCCTTCCTAGCGAATTTTGACTTCATACGTCGAGACTAATCAACGATAGTCGTAGTATCCAGATCATGTATAGCACTGTTTTGATCGAGCAATCAGTAAGGACGTGGATTGTGAATAATAAACGGCAAGCGTGAGGTATTCCACTACTTGAGGCAGGACTCTACCTGCCTCGACGACCGTCCAGAAGGACCGCACTTTCCTGCAGCGTCTCCTTCAGAACGCCTTCCAATCCGAATGACACTGAGGGAAGCTGCAAAGGGCAGGAATGTGCCTTCACAACCTTTGCCTCAACGATCCCGCGTCTCTCGACGTCACGTCAAACTGAATCACACACATTTCAACTATGAGATCGCGTCTCCTCGATCAATTCCAAACGCTGCGAGGACAAATACATCCTGTCTTCGATTTACCACTCGCCTGGAAAGATGCTTCCAATACTTCGACAACCCCCGTCCATCTCTTACGCCTGGACGGCCTTCCTGAAGGCCCGGCTCTCGTTACCCTCAACCACCTTGGCGACGGGCGTGAGGTGCGCCTCGTTGGCCTCGTCTGCTCCCTGCAACTGACGAATGTAGGCCTGGGCGACTCTTAGCCAGTTTGCCTTCTCGCCTCTGCTCGCACCCTGCCCTTCCCACACCCACACGGTACGTCCCGCATCATCCAAGAGGAAGACATCCTGGCCATCAAAGTCTGACATCGAGGCCTTGCTGCCGTCCTTGACTAGGTCGAATCTGAGCTCGCCAGATGCGTCGCTCAGCCTGAAGAGCTTCTGGGGCCTCTCGCCCGCGTGGGCCTTGGACGCCGACCTGACAGGTCTGGGGCATTTGAATCCGGACTGGGGGGTGTCGTCGTCACCACCGAGCAAGCCCACGATCACGCGGGACCTCGACTCCTCCTGTGTCAACACCTCTACATCGATGTGTTTCGCCAGGGTCATGTCGTTGACGACTTGAGCAGCCTTGGCCTTTTCCATCGGACTGCAGCTCTTGCCCTGCCACTGCCAAATCTTGTCGCCAGTGTCCAGCACGAAGACGTCTTCGTCGTCCAAGCTTTTCCACGTGGGCTCGACCTCGTGCACCACAACGCCACTCGCACCAACGGACGGGTTCTTGAAGATGCGCAGGAGCGTGAGAATTTCTCCCTTGGGTTCATCCTCCTCGACGTGGCGGAATCCTGATCGAACACCACCTGAGCGGATCTGAATTCTAGGGAAGAGTTCCAAGAAGTCATCCGAGGGCGCCGACTGCACCTCACGATGCTGGGTCGCAGCGCCGTGCAGGAACTCATCGAGCTCTACCGTCTTGTACGCCGCGGTGCCGGCCTCATCCTGCGTCGTGTGGGCTCCGAGCCAGAAGAAGATCTCATGGCCTAGCTTCTCAGCATCGTCCTTGGAGCCGACTTTATACGAGTGGAGGACGATGTAGCTGTCGCCGTCCATGAACTGGCCGTACTTTTCCTTCGGCCAAGCGACGACCTCGAATTCCTCGATGCGCCAGATATGCAGGCCTGCCTCCTGGCCGACCTTTCCGTCGTTCCATGCGGGCTCGGTTGCGGCGGAGTTGTACTTCACGCGACGGTCAATGTCCGAGCCAATGAGCTCGACATTGCTGTCCTTGATGTCGTACTCCTTGAGGTGCACGAGGCCCTGGTTTGGCGCCATATTTGATTAAATTGAAGAAAGTGGTATATTCGTCTCTTCACAATGGATTGTGTCAGTTTCAATGGTTGATGAGATTGCTGCGGGTTGTAAAGAGCAGTCCCAAGATGTTGAGGGCGGGCAGGGGACAACGTTTCAACTTCAACGTCATGGCGAACACGGACGGCCAGTGGCTGAGCCCAATCACGGTGGAGTGTGTCTCGTCAGCTGTGCGGGGATCAGCGAATTCAATTGGGCCGACCTCCCTTGCGGCTGTATCTCGAAGCCACAGGAGATCCATCAATAATCAAGGTTACAGCGCCCCAGAAACGCCTCTTCCAAGTCCAATCCTCCTCCAGCGCCAGCCACAGCTTTCTTCAAGTGGTATTGTGGTGTCTTCCACGACACGTCAAGTCCGGCAACAAAAACCTCGCGGGTCGCGAAATCCGCCGACACCGCCTCAATTGAAAGGGGTATTAAATCCCAGCCAGTCTGATTCTGGGTCTGGTACGCCAGTGCATCTCATGGGATCGCCTCCTAGCCCGCTCATGGCCTGCGCTTGCAAAATATTGGTCTGGCCGTTGGTGGCTCTCGTTTGTGGGTCCGACATCTTCGGATAATTGAAGAAGTCGAACACGTCGATGTTGTCCAGCTCGCTTAACGACGTCACCTGGGTCGATGTGGGCTCCAAGGCAGACCGCCGTGTTGAGGATGTCAAAGTCACCAAATCATGAGCACTCCTGGGGATCGCACTGTCAGCAAAGTCCGGGCGCTGGAGGGATGGCAAACACGGGGTACTGACTTTCTCATTGCAGTAAAGTTCATGTCGCCTTGACGTCCTCGCTGGACTACTCGAGCAAGGATTTTGGCATAATTATTTGCCACCTCCCAGTATTGGCCGACATGTCTGAGGGTTTCGATGAAGAAATCAATCTTGGGATCAACCGGGCAGCCTACGGTTGCGGCATGGACGAGCAGCAACCGAGCAGCAACCCATAGGGAGAAGGCAAAAGGGGGGCCGAGCAGGTCGAGACCATTGGCCTCGAACACGTCTTGCGCAATGTCGCCGAGACTTTGCACGGCCGACAGGCATCGCTGCATTGCATAATGTGACGGGACGAATATGTGAGATCTCACGGTGGGGTACGCAGCCGAGGAGTGCAGGCGCACCACCGACGTGACATACGCGCTATGCAGCATGAACCAGTTCGCGACACGGCTGGCTGGATCGGAGTGGCACAGCGCTGATATCCTGCTGTATTCACTCGGCAGGCTTTGCAACCAGTTGTCTAGCGCACCATCTAGCGATCTGTATGTGTTGCGCCAAACGGCCATCTCGCCGGAGGACGTTACATCGATGTGTGTTTTCAGAAAATCGTGGACCTTGCTGAGTATCCGGAGAATTTCGCAGTGGTACGAGAAGCTTCCCAGGTTGTCTGGCTTGTTGATCGCTGGAGGGGCTGTCGGATCGGAGGATGGGCTCCATGATCTCGTCTCGACTGGCACATTTCGGGAAAACAAGTCGTACGAACACGGAAGGCCGCGCTTCATCTTTTTGTCGTCGAGCATGAATTCGAATGTGGTCGTTGCGATCGTTGCATATCGATCGAGAAGGTATACCATCCAACAGAGTCTCCTTCGCCCCTCGTCTTCGATCCACGACTCCGGCCGCCCTGTTGCAACTCTTCGAATCGACCCGGTATGCGGTGTATCTTCGGCCTCGGCCGTGAGGTATACGCTGCTTTCCTCGCACAAGTCAAGCTGTCTCACGTTCTGTGAGAGCAGTGCAAGCATGTTCCAACCACGCGGCCCGTTGGATGTCCCGAGCTCGTCCAAACACAGAATGACCAAAGCTCTCAACGCCGCAATACTGACATTCTCCATCGCGTATATCTGGACTCGTCCTTTCGACAAGGCATGGTAATGAGATCGCATCTCGGGTGATAGTCGCGGATCTTTCATGAACCTAAGAGTCGTTGCTACAATAGCGTGTAACAGAACACGGTCGGCTTCGGTCAGGGAAGTCGAGCCGAAGAATGCGCCGAATGTCGTCTTGCGGTCAAGAATAGGACACCATGTGTTGCAGTGTTTGAAGTACAGGTCGACAAGCGTGTAGAGCATGTCGTGAGGCGGGAACTCTGACACAGTCGACAACGACGATGCATCTTTCCGAGGCCCAGAAATACTAGGAGATGCAACTGTTTGACTGAAAGGTTCACCAGCCGAGAGGTTTAGGAGAGCCTGGACAGAGGTTCGGTCACCGTTCTGAAGGGCCTCTTGAGCATCGCCACCCTGCCAAAATGGACTCGAGAAAGCCGGTGTCCTCCCGTTCGCTGTGGGTGCTGACCGTGGAATAGCGGTCGCGGGACTGACGCCATTTCCATCATGATGGAATCCTTCGACCTGAGATGATGCTTGGTTACTGATGGCCGGGGACAGGGCCTGGGTGTTGCCGTTGGCGACGTGATCATTGGCGATGTGGTCCTCCACTCGGCGACCCAGGGCCTGTAGGAGCGCGTCGAGCCTGTTGACCTTGGCCTCAAGCTCGAGGCTGAATCCAATGCGGCTTCCAGGCTTCTGTCTCTCAAGATAGACACACGTGCGGTTGTGTCGAGCGCACCACGAGCAGGCCGGTTCTGCGCGATCGCATTTCACCTTTCTCGCCTTGCACAGCTCACATCTGAAGCGCGGTCAGTCAGGTGCTACAGCGTCATCCATCAGCAAGCGAACAACATACGACGTCTTTTGGTGCTTCTCCCTCTTGCGCTTTCTCGGTGGCCCGGCCGAGCCATTGTTGGCTGTCTCATCTTCACTCGAGCCTTCGTCGTGACTGAAGACCGAGTTCGCTTCCTCCTCGGCCATTGATTGCGGACGTGCATTTGCATTCGTTCCTATCATGTCTGTCCCATGTTCGTGGGAACTCCACATTTCCCCTTTTTACTCTGACAGAAAGTGAAGTGTTTTGCTCTTATCAGGGCCCTTTTGGATGGAGCCTTGAGGAGCAGGGCCGAATTTGATGTCAGAAAGTGGTCATTTCACTAGGCGATGCGGGCGTGCAGCGAGCAGTAAAAGGCAGGCTAACGAAGTGCCTCAGCCGGCCGGGATGGTGAAGGATGCGCCGCAGCAGCTGGATGCGCATATGGGGATAATCCGGCGTTGCCCGCCGTGGTTGGCCGGGTTGAGGGCAAAGTCTTGGACTTTTGCTAGGGAACGTGGGCAGCTGGTTCCAGTTGAGTGCACGAACCTGCAGCAAGCTTGTCTGTCTGTCTGCGGTGCTGCGCTATGCAGAGCGCAAGCGCAAGCACAATTGAATGCAGCAAGGGCTTGTCTGAAGGGGGTGGTGTGGACAGGGTCGAGACTGAGGGGACGATACGGCAAACAGGATAAGTGGGAGAGACTACCGAGTCTTCAGCGAGAGGCAAAGATTCGACGAGACTAAGGGGGAAAAGAGTCGGGAAAGCTTGTCCGCGAGATGACAGAAGGCAACTGAGCGCTGTGGTGTGTCTGAGTGAGAAGAAATTCTGACCAGAGGTGCCTGTGCCAGCGAGCCACGGGGCTTTTCGGTGTTCTCGCCCGACACACAAAGAGAAGAAGGATGCGCAGAAGAAAATCGGTCCAGGTCCAGTCATGGGCCCACTTGCTGTCCACAATAAGAGCTTGGATCTGGTGTCGCAAAAAAGCTACGGAAGACGGCGGAAGAGAGAAATAAAGACACCGCCGCGCCGCAGTCGCGCGCCAACCAAGTCAATGAACCAACCGGTCCCGTGGCCGCTGCGCCCTCGTCTCTCACGGAAAAACCGTTGCACAGTAAGTCATCCCGCGGCAACGAGGGATGGACGGAACGGATGAGGGGAGATCATTGCGCCCAATGCCGCGAGTCCCTGGGGGCGATTACGATAACGAGGGTCATCTCCGAAGACATTTGTCGCAACACAATGGGCAGACGGAACAAAGTTACTATTACAGCTTCTTGGTACAGCAAAAGAGACGCAGGAACCGCGTTACCGCCATCTATTCCCCTCATTGTCTCCAAGTTTACAACTGAAAACTCCCACCCTATTTGGCAAACAGCGCCGCACCCCGGCCAGTCCGAACCCGCACCCCGCTCGTTGCCTTCCCCTGTCAAGGCTGGTTCTGCGAGGATCATCCATGCGGTCTCATAGCCGTCAAAAGGTGGGGGGGGCACGGCAGTGGCTTCGACGATGTCTCCCACCGCGGGGCACCATATGAGATGGCTGGTGGTTGTGCGATCGTCACCCGCGACCCTCCGCGGTCTTCGTCCGAAGAGAGGGAGAAGCGCGGAATGTCCTCCACGGTGGCAGCAATGACGACCAATTCCCTGCGGGCCGCTGCCTTCACGACTCAGTCAAAGGCACGATGGAGACGTGGGACAGCCCGCCTTCCGATCATCCGTACGTTACAGGGAACTTCCGCACGTGGAGATGGATCGCGATGATGCTGCGACTGCGGGTTTCCTTGAAAACCTCGACTTGGCAGTCTTGAAATTATTGCAGGCCAGCGCACACGAATGGAGCACGAGATCCAGCACACAAACACACACGTTTCGACAAAGAGGCAAAAATGCGTCATTCCCTCGTGGTACCTATGATACAAATCGGAGCTGTCTCCAACAGGCGCCAAACCTTATTCGCGCCGCCGTCGTGATGGGATTCCCCAAGCAACACAGTGGTATATGGCAAAAAAAATTAATCATGAAAAGAAAAGATGACCTCCAATAATCTTTTTAGCTTGACCAGCCCTTGCTCATCTGAACAGCCTTCTCCCAGCGGCCGAAGCGCTTGCCAGCCTCCTCGTCCGTGATCTGGGGCTTGAAGATGGTGCGACCCTCCAGGTTGACGTCGTTAAGCTCGTCGAAGCTCTTCCATACGCCCACAGCGAAGCCTGCCGCGATGGCCGCGCCGAGGGCAGTGGTCTCACGCATGCCTGGACGGTTGACAGGGATGCCAATGATGTCGGACTGGGTCTGTTACAAGGGTCAGCAACTGTGTTCTTCTTCCTTCCGCGCCGAGGCTCGGAAAAGGTCCGGGGCTTATTCTTACCTGCATGACGAGGTCGGAGTTACACATGCCACCGTCGACGGCGAGCTCGGTGAGAGCGGCGCCACTGTCCTTCTCCATGGAGTCCAAGATGGCCTTGGTCTGGAAGCAGGTAGCCTCGAGGGTGGCGCGAGCAATGTGACCACGCTGGGTGTATGCCGTGATACCGAAGATGGTACCCCGCGCATCGTCGATCCAGTAAGGGGCGAAGAGACCGCTGAAAGCGGTAACGAATGTGCAACCGCCGTTGTCCTCGACAGTCTCGGCGAGGGCGCTGAGCTTAGAGGACGACTCCATGAAGCCAAAATTGTCCACCAGGAACTTGACACTAGATCCGGCTACAGCAATGCTGCCCTCAAGGGCGTACATGGTCTTGCCGGGGCCAAAGTCGAAAGCAACGGTGGTGAGCAGACCGTGAGAAGAAATAACGGGCTTAGGGCCAATGTTGTACAGCAGGAAGCATCCAGTGCCGTATGTGTTCTTCGCAAGACCAGCAGTGAAACCCTTCTGGCCGACCAGAGCAGCGGACTGGTCACCCAAGCAGCCAGTAATCTTGGTACCGCTCAGGGCGGTGTTGGCCAGGGTACCGTAGGCCTGGGGATCGGACGAGCGCACAATCTTGGCCAGCTTGACCTTCTTGGGGTCAATTCTGAACCAGTCAATGAGGTCCTCATCGTACTGCAGGGTGTGGATGTTCATGAACATGGTACGGGCGGCGTTGGAGGGATCAGAGACGTAGACATCGCGCGACGGGCCGCCGTTGAGCTTGTAGACCAGCCAGGTGTCGACGGTACCAAAAGCCAGAACACCGCGCTCGTAAGCATCCTTGACCTCGGGAACGTTGTCAATGAGCCAGAGAAGCTTGCCGACGGAGGGGTATGTGGAAAGGGGAAGACCGCATCGCTGGGTGAGCTCGCTAGCGCCGAGACGCTGCTTGAGCTTGCGGACGAGGTCCTTGGTACGGGTATCAGTCCAAACAATGGCGTTGTACAGAGCCTTGCCGGTGGTCTTGTCCCAGAGAACGGTGGTCTCTCTCTGGTTGGTGATGCCGACAGCCTTGATCTGGTTGCGAGAGTGGCCCTGGGTCTCAAAAGCCTGCACGGCGCCGTCAATGCACGCCTCGACCGAAGAGACAAGCTCCTCGGGGTCGTGCTCGTGCCAGCTGTCGCAAACTAATTAGCTTTCTGCGCCATCGCGACCAGAACTACCCAATTGAGGGCGCGACTTACCCAGGATTGGGGTAGATTTGCTTGAACTCAAGCTGGTGCGTCGCAACGACCTCACCGTGGGGGTTGAAGATGAGGAAACGCGTGCTCGTGGTGCCCTGGTCAATGGCACCGACGAAGGACGGCTTCTGGCCGTTAGCGGCGGCAGAGGAAGACATTTTGTTGGAGGAGAGTTTGAAACGGCTGGGAAGAAGGGACGAGAGCATTCAATGGCACCAACGAGGACGACGACGGCGACGGGCGTAATGAGCTGAGGAAGGAGAAGAAGGGACAATTGGGTATCTTGAGGAACGAGGTGAGGAGGGAAGAAGGAGAGGAGCACAGGTTCACGATTGAGCTTTGAGTTTCACGGGCTGACAAAATATTTGTAGTGAGTTCCCCTCCGGCCCCAGTACCATGTGCGCGGCGCGTGTGGGAAACCCAGCTCAGCTCCTCCAACAGCTTAGGTGCGGCGTCGGGTTAGCTCCCTCCATGGGGAACAGGAACAAGACAGCTTTCTCGAACAAAAGCTACCCCTCATTCTCCCATCTCTACCTACCATACCCCATCCCCAGATCTGTGGAGATGTCACGAGATGAGCACCAACAGGCCGGACTGGGAGAACCGCAGCTCTGTCAACGAGGGGGCCCCGGAAATGCAGGATCATCCCCCACTGGGGCATGCGAACGGGTCACAACGGGGGGATGCGGATGCAAGTAGGTACTTCCTCAATGACAGGCAGCCGAATCCTTCTTCAATTGCACGCGAGGAATTCCGGGATGGCAGCAGGATGGGGATTCGGGGTGGGCACACCGAGTAGCCGCAGCTGGTCGGCCGATGGTTCGAGGGGGGAGCAGGCAATGTCGGCCGCAAACAGCGAGTAAAAGCGGGGGAAGACGGGCTTGATGTCATTCCCAGGCGCAGTGCAACGAGATCAGTTTCGGTCTGCGTCGGGGCGAACTCCACGGCCGGTGGGTCCGGCCTTATGCCGGCCGTTATCTCGAGCACCGGTCGCCCGAAGAGCGGGGTTCTTCACACGAAAAAAGAAGGACGAGGAGACCAGATGAGATGATGGTCCCACGGGATGCTACGGATAGCCCGCGGTGTGTGTGTGGTGGCACACGATCCCACAACAACCTGGAGCAGTTCTTGCAGACCAAGGCCGTCCAAGACTCGCCAGGCTAGAGCTGAACGGGCTGGGTCCCCCGCCTCTTACGTGCGGCTTTGAGGGAAAAGAGCAGCATGGGATGAGGATCTCGTGGGCATGAGGGTGGGCAGAAGTCCGTTCGGACATGGCCGCCGCGCGGCACAGCAGTGTCTCCAACCAACATGGCATCGCAAACGAGTTGAAACGAACCAACGGCTTCGACTTCCCAATTGAACGCGCCAATCCAACCCGATCATGCACCAGATCATGTGCCGACGTGCGCTTCGACGACTAGAACTTTTCTAAGCCGCTTGTCATCTTGTCAAAATTGGTCAAGAACCGTCGATGCTGACCTGGTTCCCCTCCACTACGTTACACTCGCGCTCACACCATCAGTCTTATTCGTCCATCTGCGAACGACAAACTGCGGGGAAAGAGGCGAAAGTTCCAACCGCGATGCAGTGCAGGTCAAGGATGCGTGAGATGGGATAAGCCTCTTTTTTTTTTTTTTTTTTTTTTTTTTTTTTTTTTAGGCGACGAGCCGCGGCTCAAGATTCCTCATTTTTTTGCGGGATCCAGTGTGGGCAGCTCACGTCATTGGCCCAATTGGCTAGTAATCGAAACCTTTTGTCGACTAAGAGAAATAAAAAGGACGACGACGTGTTACTTGTCTGCTTGCGAGGTCAGTCGGCTGCGGTGGTTGGTGGTGCTGGTGGTGGTGCTGGTGTTAGACGTACCCGTCCGTGTATGACGTTTGCCGCGGCGGTTACATAGTTCGGGAGTGGTGTGGGCTCTCTCTCGGCCGCTCGTCACTGTCGGATTGAGAGAGGGCAAAAAAACCAGAGAGGGTGCTCCACACCCTGACCTGAACCCTTGGCGTCTTTTGCGCGGGCCCCAGATTGGTCCAGGGGTGCCATCATCAAAAGCGGCAATCTTCGATCTGATCAGTCAAAGTTTCATCGGTATTAATGGGGTAAGACCAGAAAGTTCCGGGTTGGAAGAGAGGCAAACTTACCCAGCAGCCGACCTTTTGACTTTCCTCCAGATCTTTTCTTAGTAGAAAGAACAGCAAACTGCCAAACAACCTCGGGAGCTGAGATGCAAATGCAGAGTCTGCAGCGCCTTGCACGACAGAGTTGCATACGACGCCGCAATCAGTAAAGCAACTGTGCAAAAAAGCGGACGGAGGATCGAATAAAACGGGTCTCCCGGAAGCCGCACCGAAAACCTACCTTGGCATCCTCGGCCAGAACTCCATCCAGCCTCTTTCACGTACCCTCTGCAAGCTGCGCTCCTCTTGTCGCGGCGCAAAGGTCCTCATCTCACGCGCTCAAATCTTTTGCGGTCCCACGACGCCCCTCTCCACACGTGGGAACCACCCCAGAAGCTTACCTCTGGAGAACCACCCATTCCGCGTTTTCCATGCGCCAGAGGAGAGGCAGTCAGGCACACCCTGCATTGCTGAATTGCTAGGAAGTGAAGCCTATCAGTGGCGCGGGTGTGTGTGGGTTTCGTACGTTCCTGTACCTCTACTTTGCGCAACCTGTGCGTCTTGGTCCTGCCACTCTGCCTGCGTATCCCCATCCCAGGAGCAGAGAGTGCGTGTGTCCCGTCCGCATCTTGGCGAACCCCGGAAAAGACCTGCGAGCAGCAAAACCCAGAAGAGAAGGGGGTAAAAAGAGGGGAGACGAAAAGGAACGTCTCCATGGTGCCCCGGATCCCAGTCTCCAGATCCAGAATTCCTTCACAGAATAAACCTCGGCCGTCGTCCGTAATAACGTCTCCTCCGTCCCCGTCAACCACCTCAACTTCGGTGTGAGCCACCGAACTGCATCACACTCCCCTTCATCCCCCTCGTCCCACCGTCTGTCTGTCTGCCTTTCTTCTCTGCCTCTGCAACACCGAGGCCATCTGAGCGACTTCTTTTTTTCCTCTCGCCCACATCGTTCGATTTTTTTCGCTCTTCCCGTACCTCCTCATCCGCAAAGGCCCGCGTACCAACGACACACGCCCCCCCTTCTTCGTATCTTCCCCTCGTGAAGCACGTCGGTAACCGACTTGCTGGTATCCCAAAGATCCGGATCAGGAGAAGGAGGAGCCAATCTCCTGCGGTTGAAGCCTCGTGGCTGTTTGAATCCCGGGGGTGGGATAAGGATTAGGAACCACCTTGTGTGTCCCACCAAAGATTGACCATCAGAGTCTCATCGGGTCCGGAAGATCCACACGAGAGTCGGCAGCACGCTGCAAGCAAGTTTAAACAAAAAAGGACGAGAAGGAAAAGAAGTAACCCAAGATCAAAGATGGGTAAGCGTCAAGCTTTCGTGCATTTGCGAGCAACCCCCGAAGCCCGTGCCCCCCTCTTCGTTCTCCTCCATCTCCTCTTTCCCCAAGCTTGTCAACCCGGCGGATCGGGTGCAACGGTCATCCAGCCCCGTGGGATGTGATCAGCCCGTGGGGACCATAAGAGTTGCTTCTTCCCCATGGGAGACGTGGGATGATATTTGGCCAGACCATCGTCCGTCCCTTCGTCTCATCTTCACCACCCCGCGTTCTCCTCTCCCTCTCTCTCTGCTTCTCTCTCTCCCTTCCCTTCTTGCTTGGCGTTGTCAACTCTCATCTCTCCCATCATAAAAAAACTTAAAACGTTCTGCTTTCGTCGTCATCCTGCCTTGACAGCATCCCTCCGTTATCGCGGTGTTTCTAATGTCCATCGTGGTTCACACAGCGGAATCGGTGTCTGAGTCTTCGTCGTCCGTCGGCAAGCAACACATTCCAGTCTTCAAGTCCGAGATGGGAGGCGAAGAGACGCACGAGGAGCACGCCGCGGGCACCATGACGCCTCCCCAGGAGGAGGAGCTGTGGTGGTCCCGCGTGCGCGAGAACCTCCAGGACGGCTTCTCCGAGTTCTTCGGCACCATGGTCCTCGTCATGTTCGGCGACGGCGTCGTTGCCCAGGTCGTGCTCAGTAATTCGACAAAGGGTGACTACCAGAGTATCTCCTGGGGCTGGGGGTAAGTTCTCACACACCGAAATTCATCACACGGGCGTGTCTTTCATCGTGACTTAATCGATAAGAGAGCGCGCCATTGATGCCACAGCATATACTGACACTTCCCCCAGACTGGGCGTCATGCTGGGCGTCTACGTCAGCAAGAAATCCGGCGGCCACCTCAACCCGGCAGTGACACTCGCCAACTGCGTGTACCGCGGCATGCCGTGGCGCAAGTTCCCCATCTACTTCATCGGCCAGCTCCTCGGCGCCATGGCCGCCGCCTTCATCCTCTACGGCAACTACATGTCCGCCATCGACAACTTCGAGGGCAAGGGCATCCGCACCGTCTCCGGCCCCAACGCCACCGCCGGCATCTTCTGCACCTACCCGGCCGAGTTCATGACGCGCACCGGCATGTTCTTCTCCGAGTTTATCTGCTCAAGCCTGCTCCAGCTCGTCATCTTCGCCCTCGCCGACCCGGCCAACGGCGCCGCGGGGCCCTTCATGCCCCTGGCCCTCTTCTTCCTCATCTTCGGCATCGGCGCCTGCTGGGGCTGGGAGACAGGATACGCCATTAACCTCGCTCGTGACTTTGGCCCCCGCCTGGTTTCGTACATTGTCGGATACGGTCATGAGGTGTGGTCCGCCGGTGGATATTATTTCTGGGTACGTTGCTGTGTTGCCCCAGTCCTCCCCTATCTCCCCTTTCTTCCTGCCTGTCGTGTGCCTCGGTTCGTCTCCGTATTTTCCCTGGCTCGGAGATGGGCGTTCGGTCTTGCGGTGTTTCCGTGCGTGGCGAAAGACCCGAGATCCATCCACCACCAAAGTCCCTTTTCTGTCCGCGGAGAAAGTCCCGTGACTAACGGTAGACGTCGAATTTAGATCCCCATGGTCGCCCCCTTCTTCGGCACCCTCTTCGGAGGCTTCCTGTACGACGTCTTCCTCTACACGGGCGAGAGCCCCATCAACAGCCCTTACTTTGGCCTCAAGCGCCTCTTCCAGCCTCGTCGTGAAGTCTGGTCCAACACGTATAACAGCAA